TTTTTTTTCTTTTACATGTCAACCGCCAACGCAGGAGTGGAACGATATGAATCTCCGTTGGAATACATCCGATTATGGCGGTGTTAAAGATTTACGTATACCGCCGCATCGGATATGGAAGCCGGATGTGCTGATGTACAACAGCGCCGATGAGGGCTTCGATGGCACATATCAAACGAATGTGGTGGTGCGCAATAACGGTTCGTGTTTGTATGTGCCACCCGGCATATTCAAGTCCACTTGCAAAATCGACATAACGTGGTTTCCGTTCGATGATCAACGTTGCGAAATGAAGTTCGGCAGTTGGACATACGATGGATTTCAGGTTTGAATAAGTTGTCAACAATTAAACTCAATGACAAAACGAAAACGCACACACACACACAAATAAATATGTACATTTAACCGACACAGCATCATAGATTAATATATGTATACAAGCACGCATACATACAAATTATAATGTTAAATGAAGTGCATAAACGGATTTCGAGAATGGCGCAGGAAGAGCCAACGAAAACTTACACGGCACCGCATATTGCCGCTGGTCATCGACATTGTTGTTGTTATGCCGGTGGATGCAACGAAACGCATAAAATGTGTGGTGAAATGAAGTTGTAAATACTTAATGCAACGCCAGGAAGTATGCCACATTTACGTTTTCAAGTGATTTTCGCGGACGATTTCCCATATCTACGTCTTTAATTAGTTCATAAAATTTTTACGTTTCTTAGTTTTGGTTTCTGCTTAGAGTTTGCATAGAAAAATTTTCAAACTAACAAATAGTGTATAAAATTTATTAATCATACTTTGCCCTTTCAACAGCTGGACTTGCAATTACAAGATGAAACTGGCGGTGATATCAGCAGTTACGTGCTCAACGGCGAGTGGGAACTATTGGGTGAGTAACGAGCGCCATACTAGAGCATCTCTGTAGTAGTTGTTGTTGTGCTTGTGTGTAACTATACATGTATATATAAATGTATATGTATGTAGGTGTCTCACAAGCATCACAGATTCAAATGTTGTTGCTATAAATGTTGCCTCACAACGAGGACGTAAAAAAATGTATTTTCATATGTGTACACACGCACACACTGCCATTCAATCGGAAATAGGATAATTTCGAATTCGAAAAAATAGTTTACATTTTTTAAATTCTTAGAAAATACATAAGGCGCTTCAAGCTTTCGCGCTTTCTCTAAACAAATACTTGTTCATACATCTGCTCAACTAAATATCTATCCCGTTATATATTTTTAACAAATAAACAAATTCATGCTAATACTATTACTTAATTAATCCTCTTCGCATTTTTGCTTCCTTTACCACATTCGGAAATTGGTTTGAAAAACGGAAAATCGGTATCTCATGCCCTTTTGCTACAGCTTTGTTTTAAAGTTCAAACTCTTTCCCGGATTCATAACTCTCTTTTCAACCATTGCAACAACGGCATATTTTCAAAAAAAAAAAACAGCTCATTTACAGTCCCGAAACTCCGAAAATTCGAATGCTTGAAAATCCAAAAAATACTTAAACATACAAGTAAATACTCGAAACATTCCCGTCTAGAATATTTTTCACCATAACTGAAATAGAAAAATATTTTTTTCACGTCAAGAAATCAGTACTGCTAATTAAATTTGGTTTTAAAAGTGGTTATGGGTAGTTTTTCAATTTTCCCGAAAAGTCGCGAATGATTCCACAAAATTTATAAAAAAGCAAAATATTCCCGAAAAGTTTAAAACCACTTTTCGAAATTTTATCAATCTTACAGAAAGATATCGAAAAATCCGCAACAAAAAACTAAAAATGCAGAAAAGTTGCGACAAAAGCTCCAAAAAGTCCGAGAAAAACCGAAGAATCACCGAAAGTCTCGAAGAATCTCCGAAAATTTTGTGATTTCCGAAGAAGCCAGAGAATCGCAAAAAAATCTCGAACTATACCGCAAAAGAAAAATAAAAATAAACTAAAATGTGATAATATTTTTTCATATCAAGAAATCAGTACCGCTAATTAAATATTGTTTAAAAAATCGTTAAGTATATTCTTCCCGAAAAGTCACGAAAGATTCCGCAAAATTTATAAAAAAGCAAAATATTCCTGAAAAGTTTAAAACCACTTTCCGTAACCAAAAATGCAGAAAAGTCGCGGCAAAAGCTCCAAAAGCTCCGAAAGAAAAATAGAAGAATCACCGAAAGTCTCGAATAATCTCAGAAAATGCTTATGTTTCGGATAGCCTGAAAAAGGCTGCGGAAAAGAGAATCAAAAAGTTCAAGCCGTGGCGAAATGATATCAAACATTTAGGGAGGGAGTCCCAAAGAAGTACATAAAGGTTGTAAAAGTTCCGATAAAAACCCGAATAACCCCGAAAAAGCTGCGGGAAAATTCCAAATCATTCGGGAAAAATCAGGAAGTGCCAGAAAAGTTTCGAAAATTTCGAAAGAATCGCAAAAAAGATACGAAATGTCGTGAAACCATATTGAAAAATTCCGAAAAAGTTAGGGAAAAAGCCTACAAAAAAGATTAAGCAGTATCGAAATAATTTAGGAAGAATTCCAAAACATTTCAGGAAAATAACCCCGAAAAACTACGGAAAAATGCCAAGTCAAGCCGGAAAAAAAATCAGGAAGTGCCAGAAAAATTTCGAGAAAATCGTGAACTGCCTAAAAAATGTCGCTTAAAAGCACAACAAGTAGTCCCTGAAATAACTTACAGCTGGCAAAGATCTAAAAGTTTAGCTTAAATTTCCCGCAAAAATATGAGAGAGTCCCAAAAAGTTCCGAAATATCTCGAAAAATTCCGGAAATGCCTAGAGTTTGAGAAACCCGGAAATTATACCGAAAAGTTGAAAAGTTTTCAGATCGCAGGTGGTGGGTAGGCAGCAATCAACATATGTCAGACTTAATACACTCATAGATGCAATAATATTTTGCAAAATCGATATCATAAAATAAGTATTAAAAGGGGTCACGGAGCGGGGACGTTGAGTGAGCCCAGGAATCCGTTCTTAGACATTGAAGAAAATAGTCCTGAGTTCACTGCATTACAGAATCTAGTTTGTTCGCCCAGGCACTTTTTACTAGCATGGGCTAGCTGACTAACTGAGAAGAAAACCCTTAGACTGGGTTTCTCCAACTTAGTCATACGCATCATCTAGGCCAAAAATTAGCCTGCGTTTTAATCAGCTTATTCTTGACTAAGTCCAAAAATTGGCTAAACTAAGTTAAGTTCAGTTGGAGAAATCAGCGCTGAGTCTATTACAGCTTGTTGTTCTGCTAAGACTCCATCAGTTCATTTTGAGAACAACGCGTAGCTTTTCAATGAATTTCGGTATATCAGACGCGTTGAGGGTTTTCCTTGTGGGACTTTCTGCCTGCTTCCATAAGCTGTCCAACAGAGATCCCTTTCCACATTGATTCGGATGGGCCACCACTTTAGCCGTTCTGGTCTTGTCAATTTCGGCAAAGTAAGACTAAATTTGTTTTCATCCAAAGTAGTTGCAGAACGCTGAAGATGGGAGAGAGAGAGAGAGAACCTTGTGCTATAACGATATAAGTTAAATAGTGTATCCGCCACCTTATCATGTTAGGTCTTTCAGTGATCAAAAGTAAAACTGAATGGTCGAGTAAGTTAGAGCCGTAGCGAGTCTGCCATTTCGGAAAGGTAACTGGCAAGCACTCGTTAGCCTACAACATATCCAATAGGTATCGACACTCGTTTGACCCTGAATTGCGGAAGAATACACTGGACGGTCAGGTATATGGGTAGCAGCATTTTTTAAAATAGATGTTGGGTCTGAGACATATTCGAAGGAATAAATAAGAAGATCTTGTTTGTAGGACCGTCAGTTTTTCTCATTCGTGCCTTCAGCGAATTCTACTAGAAAGATCACGGGTCGCTGAAGTACCAATACATAGCACTTCTGTAAATAGGCCTAAATGTGTGCTGCCAAGCTCTGAAATAATCAAACTGAAAGATGTGGATCAAAGTCGATTTCACACTAGTGATTAATCTGAGTTTTGGATTTTATTAGCTCATTTTCAACACACTAAAATAGGCAGGTATATACAGTACATTTCAAACATTCCAATCAATTCATAGATCGGCTGAAAATAAGGTAAAGAAGGGCTGAAGGGCCCCACCTATGTTCCCGATGCTGGCGCAGTTCAAATTTTATTTATGTGAAATAGAGCAACGTTCACCAGGGCGTATGTGTAAATAAGTGAAATTGCATATCAGCAACAATTATTGCTTTTTTAGAGCAGAAACATCACATGAAAGCGCCAAAAATTTCAGCTTCACAAAACTTGAAGTACTCGTAAAACCGAGTTGGTCTCCAGTACCTTTCTCGCTTCTTCTCAGCCACAAAGTTGAGCTCATGTAAACATTTCAATTTGCTGAAGCAAATGCGCTATATTTTTAAGCACCAGTAAAACCGCTGCCACACTTGATTTATGCGCCCATTTTTCAATTGCTATTTTGGATACAACTGTGCTTTCATAGCCGCAACTGTGCTTCATCCGCAAAGTATGCTTTTAATCCAAGAAATAGGCAAACGTTGAATTTAGTGCCGGCTAGTATTTAAGAGGCAAACGGAAGCATAGCATCATACGAATGTAAGCAAATAAGTAAATGTATGTATGTAGTGGCGGTTCCAAAATTTTGCCAACCAACCAAAGAAACCACCTGACATGGCCGCAATGCAACAGCACAGTCAATAGTCGACGCGTCGCTATTCTAAGAATTTATAGCGCATTCGATTTGCGAATTTTATTGCCGTTTATATTATTTAAGTTCGACGTTTGCGGAATTTTTTGCCACTTTAATTGAATTTATGTGCGGTGGCGTGCTTTTGTTGCGACAGCACAAACAAATAAGTGAAGCGAGTGGAAAAGTTTTATGCTGAAAAATTTCAAATGCATACCCATGTACATTAGGGTGGCTCACAAAAAAAAAGTTGCAGTTTTTCCATCGGAATTATAAAACATATTACATATATTTAGAGACTTCCGCCAATATATTTCGGCATAATATTAAGATTTATGCGAGCTGG